AAAGCAATGGAGATTGAGGAAGGAAACTAATAGAGGGCCAGAGAGTTTGTATAAATTTTATTTTTAGTATGATGGTGGTATAATTCTTTTACTAAAACGTGACCTGCCTGCCTTAAACAAAGCCCCCCCCCCATAATGTAATTAGGAAAACTTCCTCCCGACCCACTGTGGCAGAGAAGCCAAAAAAAGTCCAAAAAGAAAAGCCCTGCCAGCTAAGTCTCAGTCTCACACTCACACTCACACTCACACACACACACACGTGTTTTGGAAGAAAAAGGAATGATGGATCTAGCCACCCACCAAATTCTCTGAGAGACACAAGCCCTCTAAAATAAACTTTTGAAAACTGAATAATCCTCCCACCTAGACAGACAGACACACACACACACACATACACACACACACAAATAAGTTTTGGATGAAAAGGGAATGATGGATCCAACCACCCACCAAATTCCCTGAGAGACACAAGCCTCCCTAAAATGAACTTTTGAAAACTGAATATAAAGGAAAAGAGATTCCACAGTTGCACAACAGCCCCCCCTACCGGACAATACACACACACACACAAACAAACAAGCCTCCAGGGAAAAAAGGCTTGGCTGATTTGAATATGAAGTGGAATTAAGCCTTTCCAAAGAAGTAGCCTAAGCTACCTGAAATCCCTCACCAAATTCCCAGTAAAGTTGATGATGATTGATGATGAAAAAGAAAAATATAAATCTTTGCTTTGCTGCCATAAAAGCGAAACCACAAGAGCACCAGCAAGCCACAACTGTTCTCACTCCAGAGAGCACAAACAGAAGTGGGGAACAGCTGGACAGGAAAAGCTTATATGAAGCATCTGTAAAAACAGATACACCTTTTAGCAGTGCTATTGGCTGCCAGACATGCCAATCCAGGATCTCTGCCCTGATTGGCCAGTGCTTCGATTTCACACCAGCAAGCTCAGAGAGGCCTCCAAAAAGGATAACAAATATAGTTGAATATGAACAGATTGATGAATAAAACGGAGGAAATATTCGTCAAGCCATATTTGTCCTGATTTAAAATTTTACAAATATGGATCGACGAATATATGATGAATCAGCTATATTCGTCAGAAAAACTGATCCATTTTTATATTCATCCCCATGTCTAGCTAAGATAATAAGGGAATACTGGCTTTCCTCATTCTCCATCTGTCTAGGGCAGCAAATAGGAGGAAGCTTCTAAAAGAAACCTTTAAGCTTGCCTGCAGTGTACATGTGTGCCCTGTTCTCACCAAATGAGAACTGTGGAAATCTTACTCTTGGCTAAAACAAGAAAAGTTTCTGGGAGAAACCACATGTGTTAACCATTGGGTCTGCATTTCAAGGGGAACCATTTCTTCTTTCACCTTCTCTGACAAGGTTTTTAATGTGTGCACAGAAATCAGGCATTTAGGACCTTGATTCCAGAGACATTCTGATGACTCAGGAACTGCTGAGCAAAGCCATCATCAAACTGTTTAGCAAGAGAGTGTTGTTAGCAGTTCAAGGGTGGGGCTGTAGACAAAAAAATTGGAAGTGAGAAACCATGTGATTTGATTATCTTAGAGGGTTCTTCAAGACAGAGGGGCTTCTAGTGCTACTTGCACACAGAGCTATTTCATCTTTTCCTCTGTTGAAGACAATAACATGTGACCTCCCTTCCCGTACAGTAAAGTTCTGTGAATGAGTCAGCCAGCCCAGATTGACTGATTTTTTTTAAGTCACATTTTTGTCGCAGTCACTGTCCCAGTGACTTCCAAGATAGTGTTACATGGCTCCACACAATACCCCTGCAGATTGACTGATTTTTAAGTCACATTTTTGTTGCAATCACTGTCCCAGTGACTTCCAAGACAGTGTTACATGGCTCCACACAATACCCCTGTGAAATAGATCAGGTAGGAGGAGGGAAAGAGAGAAAATGGCCCAAGAGACCCCTGAATTTTAATGGCCCACTATGAAAATGAACCTGGGACTCTCTAGTTTCTGTCCATCAGACTAACCATTGCATCATGCTGGCTTTCGGACACCTATAGGAAGCATAGCTTGCAGCCAGTGGCACTGAAACCTTGGCCAGCTTTGAATGTGGAAGCAACAATTAACAGATGAAAAGCTACAGATTCGCTCTTCGGGACATGTATGACCCTCTTCTGGAGTCCTCTAATATAACAGTGGCCACATCCCTGTAGCTTTTGACAGTTCATTTCTTTATTTTCTAGTTGCATTTATATCCCATCTTTCCTTCATTGTGCTCAAGGGAGCATAACGGTTCTCTTCCTGCCCAACGTACCACTTCAAAAACCTTGAAAAGTAGAGGCTTCATCTTTAAAAAGAATTAGCTCAAGAAATAAGCTCTTTTATCAGTCCTGAGTTCATGGTTGATCTGTTTAACTTTGGTGACCTGAAGTTCTGCCATTACAGAACAGGAGGAACAATTTCTGTTTCCATGGACAAGACCCTGTACTAAAAATGAAAACAAACAAACAGAGAAAATGCGGCAATGACATTTATTGGAAATTCTTCAGGTGATACATGAACAAATCAGTCCAACATAGAGTGAAAGTTTCTGTGCATCTAAAAAAAGGTAAAAAGAAAACAACAAAAAGGATACCAATGTGTGTGTCTTAATAACTTGATCATTACATGACCATTCCAACAGTTCCCTCTGACTAGTTGTGTCTGAACGAGATTGCTCCAAATGAAACAGAAAAAGACTAGTAGATATTTTCCTCCACCTGGTAAAATACCATTATTACTACCTTTTCTAGATTCATTTGGAAGGAAACAGCAAAGGCAAGATAATAAATCTAGGCACGATCAAGTAGAAATCTCTCTTGTACAACTGAAATAATTATATTGTGTCCCACTTATTTTTTCGTTCTTCAAGAAGTGCCCATCTTGAAACAACTGAAAATAAACAACTGCACAGAAATGTCAGCAGGTCCAAAACTCTACAGCCATATTGTTTTGGTAACTCCATCAACTCTATCTGACAACAGGAGGGAGGGGGGAAGACTTATATTACAGCAATAGAACAGCAAACTAAGTTCATTTTCCTTAGGGTTTTGCTTATTGTTTTGCATAAAGCATTTTACAAAGGAAGCATTGGCACCCTCCCCACCTTGCCACATATATAATTTGTAGGAATAAGACACTTGGCTGAATTTGGCACTTTGCTTATTATTAAAACTAATATCTGGAGGAATCAAACACATTCCTACTGAATGTTCACAGCAATTCAAGCTTGTTCCAAAATGAGAATGCACATTTCTTAGGTATAACTGCCTGCTATTTTCATAGTTGTGTCACATCAAGTATAGATTCAGTGTCTGATCTACATGATAGAAGTGACTTGCAAAAATTAAGCATTTTCAGATTATGTGCGGAGTAGAGACCAATAAAAGGATAAAAGCTGCCTGCAAAGCCTCAGAGGTGTCTACAGTTTTGGGTACCCCATTTTTTAAAAAAAGTGCACTACTAAATAATTGTTTTAAGCTGAAATGTACCATCCACTAGATCTGGATAATAACTTTCCTGTAGAAATATACCACAATTAAAGCCTATATGCTTGTTTGAGGCTACTGCATTTCAGAAACATGATAATATTTAAACACAAGGGCTGGAGAACATGTGATCCACTAAATGTTGGTGGGTTAACTGGTAGCTCATGGACTACTCAGAAAGGACACCATAACCTGACATTTTGGGGTGAGACAGATCTTCTCCCTGTGCTTGTACCACCATCTGCCCCTGTTTAGTCTGTGACTTCCACTATCCCACACCATAGGCTATAGTGGCTGGGGTTGATGGGGTGGTGGGGGTGACCGTCAATAACACTGGAAGTTGGGGGCAAACATTTCCATCTATCTTCTTCATATTTAAGGAATCCTAGTATTTAACTGTTATCTACTTCCCTTTTCCCCAAAAATGAAAGAAAAAGCTGGATTTGCTCTTTAAAGATAAAAGGGTGGGGAATGTGACACGGTTTCTTTGGCTCACTGAAACCCTGTGATTGGCACACATTTAAACTGTAGGACAGAGCAACAAAAATGGACACTATTCTCCATTTTATGTGTGAACTCAGAATAGCAGGAGCCCCATGGGATTTATCTGGACTACACCATGGCAGAAAGCAGCTAAAAGAATAAGTATTTGAGTGCTTCCCAAGATAAAGTAATGCCTCCTTGTATAATATTATGTCAATGGAAAGCTTACTCTAGAGTATTGTCTTTAACATGCCAGTTCTGCATTAGGTGCAAAGATATTACACAGAGAGCAACCAAACATGCCATCTGCCAGGAACAGGTACATCCTATGAGACTTCTGCTCTTCTATTTCGGCTCCTGATTTCACGCACGGGTGCACAGGGAAGACAGAGAAGAGGTGAGAAGTTATATTTTCAGTCCTTCACCTTTCCTGATTTCAAACACAGCAAGGAGCTTTAAGGCTTGGAAACTTTTTGTCACCTGTGTGAATGCAATCTGACAAGAATGATGGGCTGGATCCCAACTGGCTCTTCCACAAGCCCTCTGCCACCCTGAGAAAGAAAGTCTTTTTTTCTTTCTTTCTTTTTCTTTTTCTTTTTTCTTTTTCTTTTTTTTTGGCCTCTTTTGTAAGGGTTTTGGGCACTTCTGAGAAATTCCTCAGAATGCAGAGCTGCCATTCTTATTTGGGGACTGTGAGATTTGAGAAACCACACACCATTCTGCACAGCTTTGCGGCTTTTCTGCCTGCTTCATAGAAAGCCTCTTTAAAGACTTTAACAACATGGCTTTTTCCTTTGGAGCTTCCGGTTATTGCTGCCCATTAAATGAGAAAACTGAGAGAGGTATTCTTGTTGCTTTGTGTTTAAAGGACTTTCTTTGATTATTCTAAAGGCTGAGAAATTCCTCAGAATGCTGAGCTGCCATTCTTACCTTTCCATGAACAGGGGGACTGTGAGATTTGAGAAACCACACGCCATTCTGCACAGCTTTGCGGCTTTTCTGCGGCCTCTTTTGTAAGGGTTTTGGGCACTTCTGAGAAATTCCTCAGAATGCAGAGCTGCCATTCTTATTTGGGGACTGTGAGATTTGAGAAACCACACACCATTCTGCACAGCTTTGCGGCTTTTCTGCCTGCTTCATAGAAAGCCTCTTTAAAGACTTTAACAACATGGCTTTTTCCTTTGGAGCTTCCGGTTATTGCTGCCCATTAAATGAGAAAACTGAGAGAGGTATTCTTGTTGCTTTGTGTTTAAAGGACTTTCTTTGATTATTCTAAATTTGCTGTTGCTAATTATCTCTGGTGCTTTTAAAATGTTAGTTTGAAGAAAGGTGGATGATAGGCTCTAGGCATTAGGAGTCCAAAGAATTCCCATTGTTTACTGAATTTATTCTGACCACCAGCACCTTCAACTTCCATGGATGTCCAGCCAAGCCCTGTATTTAGCCTAATATCAAAAATGCCATCAGATAAATTAGGAAGAGGAAAGGAGGTGGGGTGGGGACCAGTTAATCAAGATCTTCTCGCTCAGCAATGTTCATGACTGGGAGCACTGGAAGATGAAAACTTTCCTGCTGCTAGATCCACCCTACCCCACAGCCTCTCTTGCTTTGAACTGAAGGTAGGAAAGGGACTCCAGGAGTCCTGGGGGGGGCTCATAATGCTGAAAACCAACTGTGTACTTTCATTCACTTTCAAAGCACTCTATGACCTGCACATACAGTGGTCTGAAGTCTGCAAAAAGTTGGAGGTTACAGTAATCAAAACGTCTCTTTAACATAAAAACAAACCTCCACTGTTTATTGCATTTACTAAGCAGCAGCTGTTGAAAGACCCAAGGGGCAAAATCAGAGGGCAAGTCCTTTAAGATGCTTTCTAGGAAACAGAAGCAGCCAGGAAGGATGAAGAGCATCAAGGAGGAACACAAGCATTGTACAGTTAAAGAAACAGCCCTCTCCCCACAAGTCCTGTAACTTCATTACAGTAATGCAGGCACAGGAGCCTTACAGCCCTGCTTCCTTCTCAAATAATCCAATGATTTTCAGTTGCAATTTTTTCACCTCTCTCCCCTCCCCCCCCAAGAGTTGAAAAGAAATAGAAATTTTCAGCACAGTATTTCCTGTGTCTCTTTTAACTCTTCTTAGCAGCACAGCTGCAGAATGACAGTCCAGAAGAATTGCTGTTGCATGTATGCATTTGTCAGCAGAATCAATTACAGGCACATAAAAATGTACATGGAGTTTCCCCCACAGAAAAGTTAACAGAAACAAAAGCCCTACACAAAACTCAAAGAAATCCCCCATTAAAAAGGGAAACATGCTATTCTTTGGAGGGGGGGAATTACATTCTTGCTTTTCTTTTCAAGTATTAAGCAACGTATAGAAAATACATGACTTGTTCCTTTCACTCCGTGTCCACAGAACATATGAAGGTTGACATTTAAGTTAACAGCAGTCTGAAAGGGTGAACTTTCATCCTCTTTCTTTTACATCAATCCTAAATATACATCCAATGGTCTGCATTAGATTCAGTCCTTTTGCTTTGCACATTGCAATTTATGTACACACTCTGTTAAAAACATTTAACCTAGGGTTTGCATATCAGGATTTAAAAGGCCTCTCTGCTGCCATAAGGCTCCCAGTACCCGTGTGAGATTATGTAGATACCTTTTAGAGCAGCCTGTTTGTATCTTTCCTTTTCTTTATTGACAGAAACCACGTGGCTTGCAACTCTTCCCTTATGGCTTATTTCTGGGTTTTGCTTAGGTTACAGTTCACCTCCTTTAGCAGCTGTCTGCAATCAGACAGTGCTTCCTCAGGCAAGTATCTACAGATCTTCTCAACCGTCATTTGATAACGCAACTTGTCTTGTTCCAGTGACTGGATTAAACTCTTCATTTTGTTCTCTCTTGCCAAAGCATCTTCGAGATTTGACTCCATACTCTGGATTTTCACATGGGCTACCTATTGGAAAGTAGCAGGAATGCAATTTTAAAACAAGGGCACCCTCCAGACCAGACATGAGCACTTGGTATTTTGCATTAAGGTCTGGGAAGGAGGCGGGACAGGAAGTATCTCCGCTCAGCTGATGGGTGGTCAGCTGTGTGGGGAGGTCGGGAAAAGCTGGCCAGGCTCCTTCCCAGATTGGAGTGTTGGCACTGTCAAAGGACCCCTGCGCTATGCAAAATCCAGGGAGCAGCCTGACCTCTTCTGGTGATGGGTGCCACAGTTCATATTTTGTATGCTTAATACAAAATATGAACTGCCCATGTCTACTCCAGAGTAATGTCAAAACAAGTAGGAGCTGTGCTCTTGTACAGTCATCCACCCAGCCACATTCTTCTCTGTGATAGTCCAGTCATTCCCTCTTCAGCCTGGTTTTCCATGCTGCTCATCCTCTGCCCAGAGCCAGATAGCTGTCTGACTGTTACCACCAAGCAGCCTCAGTCTTCACTTGATTTCTATTGTTTCACAAACCCCCACCTTTCAATAAAAATATTCTGTACTCCTGCAAACAGTGCCTCAAAACTTACTGATACTTCCCTCTGCCATTTTGGCAGCATTTTTCAGACTACAACTTGACACTGGCTGAGGAGTTCTGGGAGTTAGAGTAAAAAAAGCCTGGTTAACATTGCACTGGCATCTATGTATATGTATATGAGTTGGTTTGCTCCTTTTTCCAGCAATCATATTATACAGTGGTGCCCCACATAGCGACGATAATCCATGCAACAAAAATCGTCACTATGCGGATTCGTCACTATGCGAAATTAAAAAGCCCATAGAAATGCATTGAAACCCCTTCAATGCGTTCCTATGGGCTTAAAACTTACCTTTTAAGCGAAAATCCTCCATACGGCAGCCATTTTAGCTGCCCGGTAGGCGAGGAATCCATCCCTGTTTTACCCGGCAGCCATTTTGGAACCACCAATCAGCTGGGGAAAAATCAGCTTACCGATCATCACAAAGCGATTTTCCCCCATAGGAAAGATCGTTATGCAATCGTAAAAGCGACTGCAAAAACATCGTTGCTATGAGGATTCATCGTTAAACAGGGCGCCCGTTATGCGAGGTACCACTGTACAATCATTGCAGCTGACCAAAGTGTCCCCACTGCGTTCCTACCCACACCTTTCTGAGCCCGTCATGGGCTTCTAGATTTTTTTATGCAGGTAGGATTGCTCTAGTTTGGTCTGTTTCCAGTATGTGTGATTGCTGGGAATAAGCTAAAAGCAAGCCCTGTCTCTCAAGGCTCCTTCCAGTTTGGATTTCTGATATTGTGAAGTAGTTTAAGCAAGCCACTTCAGGATACCAGAAAATTGAACATTTCCTCTACTCCTTGCCAGAGGAGCAGGGGAAGTGAACTGTTTCTTTGGACTGCAGTAGATCATCAGTGCCAAGGCTAGTTGAGAAACTGCCCATATGACATCATATTCTTCTTTCTGCCAATTTGCTAACAATTGTTCATACAAACTTCTTTTATGTCTAGCTTATTGACAACAACTAAGTACCTTCAGAACTAAATTGTTTTGAAGGTGGTGCTTTAGCCTGATTCCTTTTGTCAGCCTACCATCAGTAATTCCAACACTGTGTGCTAGAGCACAGCAATGTGCCATTAGAAGTAAGCAATAGTTTCTAGAGAATCAAAGCACCCAACGTAAATTCTTTCTGTGTGTCCTGAAGTGATATGGGAGCATATGCCTCCAGAGTCTGCTCTTTGACACATTTTAAATGCTCACCAGAGACCCAGATTCAGATCTTCTGCCAGACATCTAGCTTGGTTGTTAGGAGTTACCTGTAGTTTCTCCAAGAGCTCCATATTTTGTCTTTTCAACTGATTGTTTGCTTTTTCAAGTTTCTCTGGAGCCTCAACGTCATCACATAGATTTGAGTTTTCTTGGAGCTCATCCTGCAGAACATGGTACTCCACCTCATAGGCATGAAGCTGTTTGGAAATATCCATCTCAAATACCTAACCAAGAGAAAGTAAAACAAGTTTCTTCATGAGACCTCACACTCTGTTTAATCCTCAACTCTGAGGCAGAGAATTATGCCCAACAAGGTGGCCCACTCATTTGGCTACACAAAGCAGAGCATGCCTACCAGTTTGGCTAAGTGAATCAAGACAGATTTTATAGGTGCCTACCAGATTGCTGCCTTGTTGTGGCGAAGGGGCACGAGTAATTCAGAGAAGCTATGGGCCATGCCATGCAGGGCCACCCAAGACGGACAGGTCATAGTGGAGAGTTCTGACTAAACGTGATCCACCTGGAGCAGGAACTGGCAAGCCACTCTAGGATCTTTGCCAAGAAAACTCCATGGACAGAAACAAAAGGCTAAAAGATATGACGCTGTAAGATTAGCCCCTCAGGTTGGAAGGCAACCAACATGCTACTGAGGAAGAGCGGAGAACAAATACAAATAGCTCGAGCTAATGAGGTGGTTGGGCCAAAGCCAAAAGGACGCTCAGCTGTGGACGTGCCTGGAAGTGAAAGGAAAGTCTGATGCTGCAAAGAAAAATACTGCATAGGAATGTAAGAGCTATGAACCTTGGAAAGCCGGATGTGGCCAAACAGGTGAAAACATTGACATCCTGGGTGTGAGTGAACTAAAATGGACAGGAATGGGCATAGGAACCTGGAATGTAAGATCTATGAACCTTGGGAAGCTGGATGTGGTCAAACAGGAGATGGCAAGAATAAACATCGACATCCTGGGCATCAGTAAACTAAAATGGACAGGAATGGGCAAATTCAGTTCAGATTATTACCCTACCTACTATTGTGAGCAAAAATCCCATAGAAGAAATGGAGTAGCCCTCATAGTCAACAAAAGAGTGGGAAAAGCTGTACTGGGATACAATCTCAAAAATGATAGAATGATTTCAATACAAATCCAAGGCAGACCTTTCAACATCACAGTAATCCAAGTTTATGCACCAACCACCGATGCTGAAGAGGCTGAAATTGACCATTCTATGAAGACTTACACCTTCTAGAACTGACATCAAAGAAAGATGTTCTTGCTCATTATAGGGGACTGGAATGCTAAAGTAGGGAGTCAAGAGATAAAAGGAACAACAGGGAAGTTTGGCTTTGGAGTTCAAAATAAATCAGGACAAAGGCTAATAAGAGTTTTGTCAAGAGAACAAGCTGGTCATCACAAACACTCTTTTCCAACTACACAAGAGGCAACTCTACACATGGACATCACCAGATGGGCAATACTGAAATCAGATTGATTATACCCTCTGCAGCCAGAGATGGAGAAACGCTATACAATTAGCAAAAACAAGACCTGGAGCTGATTGTGGCTCTGATCATCAGTTTCTTATAGCAAAATTCAAGCTTAAATTGAAGAAATTAGGAAAAACCACTGGGCCAGTCAGATATAATATAAACCAAATCCCTTATGGCCTTTTTAAATGAACAGTGCAAAGATATAGAGGAAAATAATAGAAAGGGAAAAACCAGAGATCTGTTCAAGAGAATTGGAGATGTTAAAGGAACATTTTGTGCAAAGATGGACATGATAATGGACAAAAATGGTAGGGACCTCACAGAAGCAGAAGACGTCAAGAAGAGGTGGCAAGAATACACAGAGGAATTATATCAGAAAGATCTGGATGTCCCGGACAACCCAGATAGTGTGGTTGCTGACCTTGAGTCAGATATCCTGGAGAGTGAAGTCAAGTGGGCCTCAGAAAACATGGCAAACAACAAGGCCAGTGGAGGTGATGGCATTCCAGTGGAACTATTTAAAATCTTAAAAGATGGCGCTGTTAAGGTGCTACACTCAATATGCTAGCAAGTTTGGAAAACTCAGCAGTAGCCAGAGGATTGGAAAAGATCAGTCTACATCCCAATCCCAAAGAAGGGCAGTACCAAAGAATGCTCCAGGTAAAGGTTCCACTTGACATTTAGTCCAGTCGTGTCCGACTCTAGTGCGCAAGGCTTATGCCTGTTTCCAAGCCGTAGATCCAGCGTTTTGTCCATAGACAGTTTCTGTGGTCATGTGGCCAGCACACCTAGACACAGAACACTGTTACCTTCCCACCATAGTGGTACCTATTTATCTACTTGCATGTGCATGCTTTCGAACTGCTAGGTTGCACTCATTTCACACGCTAGGAAGGTTATGCTCAAAATCCAACAAGCTAGGCTTCAGCAATATGTGGACTGAGAACTCCCAGAAGTACAAGCTGGATTTCAAAGATTTCAAGGGGGCAGTGGAACTAGAGACCAAATTGCTAACATGCACTGGATTATGGAGAAAGTCAGAGAGTTCATCAAAGCTATGGTTTGTCCAATAGCGATGTATGGAAGTGAGAACTGGACCATAAAGAAGGCTGACCGCCGAAGAATTGATGCTTTTGAATTGTGGTGCTGGAGGAGATTCTTGAGAGCCCCCTGGACTGCAAAGAGAACAAACCTGTGCAAGAAATCAACCCTGAGCACTCACTGGAAGGACAGACCCTGAAGCTGAGGCTCCAATACTTTGGCCATCTCATAAGAAGCGAAGACTCCCTGGAAAAGACCCTGCTGTTGAGAAAGTGTGAAGGCAAGAGGAGAAGGGGGCGACAGAGGACGAGATGGATGGGCAGTATCATCGAAGCTACCAACATGAATTTGACCAAACTCTGGGAGGCAGTGGAAGACAGGAGGGCCTGGCGTGCTCTGGTCCATGGGGTCATTAAGAGTCGGACATTACTTAGCGAGTAAACAACAACTAGAAGGTGGGGACAAACTAGTCAAAAGCTGAAACCTTTAGGGGTTTGTTGTTGTTTAGTCATGTCCGACTGAACGACTAAATTAAATTTAGTTGTTAAAAATTAAAAATTAAAATTAAAACATATTAAAATTAGAAAACATTATTACAAAATCATCAAGGTTTGAGAAGAGTGGGTAAAAGGAGGGAAGGGAAGAGAGACTGAAGTAGGTGGGGAGAGTGCAGAGAAGATAGGCAAAAGGGGGAAGCAATCTTTGCTGGGCGTAAGACCTCAAGGAGCAATTCCAGATGTGTGAGAAAGGTACAGTAAATCCCCTACATACCCAGCAACAAATATCTTCCTAATGGGTGGACCCTCAATACCAGGATAAGCTATTCAAATATGCAACAAAAAATAACAGCATGAACCTAGGGCAACCACAGAAAGATTGGGAACAATACCACAGTGTGGGTGAGCCCTCTGTAAGGAAGGGATTATCACAGGACAGGGTTGAGGATGTCTTGTGTACAGCTATCAAGTGAATTCACAGAAGAAGCAAGTTTTAAGCTCACTTGTATTCATTGTTTACTACTTTAAACAAGAAATCAAGCAACATGTTAGTCACGCAGTATCAAGTAACACACTCAATATCACATGTCAACAAAATGGTTCACACCTCATTAAGTATACTGGCATGAGGGGTGAGGAGGAGAACTGATCATTACCTGGTTGACAATCTTTTCCATCTGGAGCTTTGTCATGTCTGGGAGAGTATTTTTAAGAAACTCAACAATGCTTTCAAAAGTCTCACACATCATGATGTGCTCCTCTTGGCTACTAAGCAGACTTAGTGCCACTTTAAATATGACTTCTGTTCCCTGAAAGAAAATAATATCTGGACCACAGGATGGGGAACAAAACAATAGGTTAGACTGCCTTTTGGATGTAGGACAAAATTATGGCAACCAATACGTTCTAAGGTTTACAAGTGAATGACTTTAGATATTTCCTTTTTCTTCTGACAATAATCTGTAACATTTCACAATTTACACATATTACACACTTTTAATGTCATCAAAATGTTTCATACCTCATTAAGTAAAATCAAAACAAAGCATATACCTTAACTAGCAGCAGTCAACCATCCTGGCCCAAAGCAAGTGAAATAGATATGTGATTAATTTCATACTAGAATTATTGTACTAAATTAAAATCTCAAGGTATTTGCCTTTTCAAGAGATAAACTGTATAAATACATCCATGACTATACCTATTGGCCAAAATCCTGTTGTGCAGTTATTCAAAGGGTGTAGCTTTTAGCATCAAACTGCCAGCTTTACACTGTTTTATACTTTATAAGAGTTTTATACTTTATAAGAGTTATTCTAATTAGAATTTCCTAGCTCCTCTTATGTAACAACAGCTGCCTGTATTATGAGGAACAGAAAGACTCGCAACAGATCACTTACTGATCCTCAGAATTAACAGACCCAGTTCATCTTAGACTAAACCGAATATAAACTCAGCTTTAATATTTCTGCCAATTATAGTTAACTGGCTAAAATCCCACGTTTACTAAAAGAAAAAGAAACTCGGTTCTGATCCACCAGCCTGTAGACGTTACCAAATATAGTGGTACCTCAATTTACAAATGTAATCCGTATTGGAACGGCGTTCGTACATCAAAAAGTTCATAAGTCGAGGTAAACTTTTCCATAGGAATGCATTGAAAACCATTTAATCCATATCTACTGTTTTCGTTCATATGTCGAGGCGCTATTCGTAGGTAGAGAGGCATTAGTTCCCATAGGAACTAATGCAAAGCTGGTTAATCTGTACTCTTACCACTAGGGGGAGAATTTTTTATTTTTTTCTTCTTTTGACCTAAGATTAACTTAGGTGTTTTTTCCCCCCTTTTTTGTTCATGAGGCTCCGTTCGCAAGTCGAAGCAACTTTTTGCAAATGGAGCCATTCATAACTTGAATTGTTCGCAAGTGGAGACATTCGTAGGTTGAGGTACCACTGTATAAGCATATATTTAAAAGACCTACCAAATACTCTGGCTACAAAACCCAGTGGGAACTGAGAGGCAAATAAAGTAATAAACCAAGGTGCTGCGTAAAGGCTAGGACTGATTTCATTCTCCTCAAGATGGTTGTAGAGGTCTCTGTGATAGTCGTGGAGGAGTCTTGATAGCTGGTACATCTGGATCTGTAGTAAAAGATGGAGAAAAGGAAAATATTGAAAACATCTTAGGCTCTTTATTGTAGGTTCATGGTTGTTCTTGCATTTGTGGTTCCTTTCCTGTAGTGTTGCTACAAGTCAAATCTGTGTCTGAGAACATGCCACATTCCTGTGCACAATGGCAGATGTTCAGCGTTCCTATGCCTTTGGCTCTTGGAAGTTAAGAAGTACACAGCACCATACTGTGGGAAGGGAAGCCAAGAAGCACAGACCTGAATGAATTCCTCAGACTGACCTCTTCCTCTAAAACTGGGACTCAACAGCTGCTTACTACACAACAGGCTCATGACATAAAAAGGTATGTATGTATAAGGGGGAAATCATCTGGCAATATGTTCATAGTAAATTAATTATCAAGGAAACATTGAGGAGGCAGCCTAGCAATAAAATGACTTGTAAGCATATCACAGGTGAATTTGCTAAGGTAGCTTTCATTTTTGCATAAAGGTACTGACTTCCAAGTGTAACACCTAAATCTGATCTTCTGTGTTGCTGATATAAAGACTGTTGCTAGGTCCAACATTTTTCTGCTCTAAACAATAAAAACCGGTGTTATCTCTTCCTCAGAAAATTGGGAAGAAGCTAAAAATATACTGCCAAACAGTTCGGATACTGCTGTGACGGTTAAAAAGCTGAAATTTGGTATAAACATTCCCAAAGATACTGTTACTAGAACAGTCTGAAAATGTTGCAGATCAGGATTAGCTCAGAAAATGTGTCAGAATATGGAAGAGGAAGCCAATTATTTACCTCCCCCAATAGAAAGAGAAGAGATTTCAAGCATAAGCCACACATTTGCACCTTTGTTGGCAGAAAGAGAACTTAATCTTACAGTCATCTATCATGTCCTCCTAAAGCTAAGAAGCTCCACTTCAACATTTGATGTTCTAGCCCCTTCAGAAACAAATACAACAGAGGCACAGCTTACTACCAGCAACACTGAAACTGGCCTTCTCTCCAGTGTGTTGCATTCTTTTAATGGATTACAATTCAAAGCACAGCCTCTCAAACTCCCCTGAAGAGAAATGAGGCAGGGAGATATCGATTAGCTGCCAAATACTATTACACTGTTAACAGAGGTTTACACTTAAGAAAGAAGCTATTCCTAAATCTGGAAATGGTTTGTCAGGCCAGCTGCTCAATTCCATGCATGAATACCTCTGAAATAAACTGGTTCCGGGGATCCAACTGGCTTAATAGCAGGTAACTGTCATATTTTATGCCAGGGTTCGCTGAATTCAGAAGCACTGGAGGCTACTGCTAAAGGCAACATTTTCTAGTTAAGAAAACAGTCCCTGTATTGGGTGAGCAATACTGATTGTCTTTTACACCTCACTCAAAACCATCAGCAGCCTTCCTCATATCTTATTTATTTAAAATATTTTTAGTCCATCTTTCTCCTGAAAAGGATCCAAGATGCCCCTTATAAATATATATTTCCTTCTGGTCTTCTTCCCTAGTCCTCTTTGGTGTGTGTATTTTTACCTCTTCATTTCCACTCTCTTCTTCATGTTCAAATTGCACATATTGATAAATACCTACAGGATGTATTTTTCTTGAGAGGGCATATAAAAAAATTGAAAAGAAGTATTTCTGGCACCTTACAGACTACCAGATTTATGTAATAAATAATTTTTTTATTTCCATAAAAGCTCAATCTGAAATAAATCGGGTAGTTTTTCAGGTGTAACAACTGCCTCCTTAAAAAAAACAGATTCAGTGGAAACAAACTTAACACACTGAACTTCTTTGAGTATTACTTTCTGGGAACAGTACCAGTATGAATCAATTTTTGTTAGAACCTGAGTGGATAAGGAAAGGGTTATGCCTTTCTGCCCTATGAATTGTTCTTATCCCCCCTTGTCCCATGTCTCTTTTATGTGTTATTATCTTACGCCATGGTTGATTATTATTATGTTTTGCATCATGTGTGGTTTGAGCCAGACATCCTTCCAAATTTGGGCAGATTTTCTGGCCTACATCCACCTAAGCAATTATACTACCACATGGCACTCACTGTGCCATTCCAGTTGTCTACAAGCATCTAACACTGGCCGAATGTTGAGGTAATTAATAATCCCAATGCTGTTAAATGTTGAAGGAAAGACAGGTAAGGGAACTTGCCACCAAGGCAGGAGGGAGGGCACAAAAGGTAGCAAGGGCTGTGAGGAGGACTACGCACTGAAGATGGCTGGTGGCATGTGTAGAACAGAAAAAGAGCAAGAATGAAATAAAACCACTGGGCAGTCCAGATGCAATTCACGAGTCTCCGAACTGACTAGGAATGAGTCCTCCCCCGGCTCTTCTTAAAGTCTATGTAATATTTCAGATTTCAAACAGAAATCTTCTCCCTTTTCCCCCCTTTTCTTTTTTGGTCTTACCTGTAGTGACATCATATCTGGCCGGTACTGTTTGCGGAAGCCAAGGTCATACATGAGAAATTTGAGCATTTCAAAGGCTTGCTCTTCGCTCATGTGGAGAAGCAGCACGCCAGCCACAAAGCTGATACCTTGGCAGTAGCCCACCTCTTTGTCCAGCAAGGAATAAGCTTTCAGAAGGTTGAAAAGTGACAGCTGCCCAGCTCCCAACTGAGCAGAAAAGTAAGGATGTGTTGGGAAAGTCCTTCCTGGGGCAAAAAAGAGAAGTCATGAGTTGCCAGGTGACATTGAGAACCCTCAGGAAGTTTCTGCACACTGCTTTCATGACACATTAGCCATAATGGCTCATATATATATTGTTAAGGTTAGCTAAATACAAATGACTATTTGCCTAAGAGTTTGAACTAACAGCATACCATCACTTAGGAAGCTGGCCAACATCAGCTTTCCAAAACACAAAACATACATACCACATACTGAGGGAGAAACGACAAATGCTGCACATCCTAACCAAGACAGGGAAATAACCAAATGATAAATATTCCTTGACACTTGCCAGGACTTAAATGCCTAATTTCTTCTATCATGTCACTGTCATGCCGTGTTAAAAAACACAGTGAAGATAAAACCACCGAAAACCAGTATTTCCTTTTATTGGTGAAAAACAGGATGCTTACTCCCAGGAGCAGTTTCCTAATACAGCAACTGGCAGCCATTAACTAATTAGCCTAAAGTATGCTATAGAGTTTTGGATGACACAGGAAAAGCACTGAACACAGTACTAGCCACCTAATTCAGCTTCCCAAATATCTCTGCATGTTTAGAGGTAACACCAGTGCAGGTATCAGAAAGCAGAAGAGCTGAACAAGATTTTAAAAGACAAGGCATGTGCCTCCACAAACTTCTTTGCCTCCTGGCTAGCAAAATTAGAAAACATTTGTCCAAATGAAAGAAATCATGCAGGTAATTAATTTACCTCGGTTATGCAAACTGCAGAACTGGATTCTCATGGAACATAATTTAACTGTTTACGCACAAAGACAAATATATGAATCAAATGGCCAGCTGAACAAACCTATGCTACAGTGCACCAAGCTGAAATGTATATTTTTTTGTTTTGTTAAGTTGTTAAATCATTTCTGACTCTTCATGACCCCATGGACCAGAGCATGACAGGCCCTCCTGCCTTCCACTGCCTCCCGTAGTTTGGTCAAATTCATGTTGGTAGCTTCAATGACACTGTCCAACCATCTCGTCCTCTGTCGTCCCCTTCTCCTCTTGCCTTCACTCTTTCCCAACATCAGGGTCTTTTCCAGGGAGTCTTCTCTTCTCATGAGATGGCCAAAGTATTGGAGCCTCAGCTTCAGGATCTGTCCTTCCAGTGAGCACTCGGGGTTGATTTCTTTTAGAACGGATAGGTTTGTTCTTTTTGCAGTCCAGGGGACTCTCAAGAGTCTCCTCCAGCACCACAATTCAAAAGCATCAATTCTTCGGCAGTCAGCCTTCTTTATGGTCCAGCTCTCACTTCCATACATGTATATTTTACTCATTAGTATATGTAATTTCTCCTTACATATTTTTTCTATGAAAAGCAAAACAGTCAATGTAGATTATAATTAGAAATGAAAGATCAACAGAAGGATGAAAATGTTTAACCTATTCCTCCTTATCATCTCTACTCAAAAGTGACCTTTCCTTCAGTTGCTTTACTATCTTAAAAGGGGGGGAAGCACCTATTTCAAAAAATATATTATGAAACTCTTCTTCTTTAAACATAATCAAACAAATAGCCCTCACTGCTGATTTTTGTCTTTTACCTCAGGGGCATTTAATGGCTCTTTTATCATCCAGATGTGTTTAACAACAACTTCTATCATCCCCAGTATGGCCAGGGAAAGACTTTTATGTGCTATGGATAGAATTCTGTGTCCTGGTAGAGCACAATGCAGGAGTACAAAATGGAAATGTAACTTGACTATTCTATCAAAATGGCACTCCACCAGAAGCATTAATCATTCATCTAAGGCAAACTATTCAGAGCTTGGAAAAGCTACTTTAGACAACCAGAAACTCCCAAACAACAAAAAAATTCTGTGCACTATAACATTATTTGGTAAACTTTCCCAAGCTTTGGTATACATTTCTCATGAACTTGAGAAAAGCCCAGCATGAATTGAAGGGCTTAGTCTGTAACATGCACACACACACACACACACCCCAAACCTCTCCTCTGCCATAATTTTCACCATTTGGTCCAGAATATCTATTAGCCAAGAGAAAAAGCTGACAGGAAATAATTGACTCATTTGAAATTTGGTGCGGGAGAAGAGCTTTGCAGATACTCTGGACTGCCAGAAAGATGAACAAGTGGGTCCTAGAGGAATCAAGCCTCCCGTATATCTGGAGGCAAAAAATGTTGGAAGCTGAGTCTGTCCTACTCTGAGCACATCATGAGAAGGCAGAATTCTCATGATGCTGGGAAAGATGGAAGGCAGCAGGAAAACAGGAAGACCAAATGTGAGATGGAATGACTCCCTAAAACAAGCCATAGGCTTGAGTCTGCAGGAGTTCAGCTGGGCTCTTGAAGACAAGACATTTTGGAGAGCACTCATTCATAGTGTTGCCGTAAGTTGGAAGCAATTGACGGCACATAACAACAACAAGATGAGAAAAAGTTACCCAGATCGACAAGGATAGCATGTTGCTGGGCTGTCAATTGTTTTAGGAGTTCTTTATAAGAAATATCAGGAGGCTGTTGTTTATTCGGCAGCCGATGTCTTACGCGATGCTGAACAGCAAGAAATTGCCAGATTTCTCCCCTGCGACTTTTGGGTACACCTGAAAAAAACAAGAAATTGAAAGTGGGTTATAGAGAGAGAAAGAGGTGCAAAACCAAATTATTCAGGTAATTACGCAATGGTTGAATGATGAATTATTTTTCATCAGGTGTCTATTTTACATGAGTACTTTTAATGCTTTATCAACTGGAGCCTTCCTGTCAGTCAAGGCACTGTAAGCTATTGCTTTCCCAATGGCATTGATAAGAATGAGACAAGGTTGGAATTAAAGAGCTATTCTATGAGTTTTAGGGGGAAAGTATGGCTCTTTCTTGCTACTGCCTTCTGAGTCTCACTGCATATTTATTTACTATGTACGGCACATCAGGTCTACATATTCATTGGCTATCTCTTTCCCAAAGATGAATGGTAATCCAACCCACCCACCCTCCAAAAAGAAAAAAAGGTACAAGTACTCAGTTTTCACATAAACATGCAGGGCAACCAATGCAAAGGGGGAAAAAAGGACTACAGAACTTTCAGGATACAGTAAGTCAATTACTTTGCATTATGCTCTCTCTTTACATATGTTCGCATTTAAACTGAAGTAAGTGGTAAGATGCTGTCAGACCCGTTCTCTCTGCATTAGGCATACTGTACCCCAAAATTACCATCTCTCAAAGTAGAGTGAATATCTTCCATGTCACATCTGATTTTTGCTCTGCAGTTCAAAAGTTTCTTATCCCAGATATTAATAGCATCTTTCTGGTAAGTACCAACTTCCTCATAGTCCAGCTTAACTTTTCTGGACTGGAGCTCATCTTTGCTTGCTGCAGAAGAGAACAGAAGGCACACATCACTTAAAATTAACAGTCACATATCTGCAGTTGATGTGACAGAGTTTGAGCCAATGATAACTGGCCTTCAGACATAGTGATCCCATGTGTCTGTCCTATGGCATACAAGCAGGAAGCCATGCCTCAAAGAAGGTACATGCGATACACTTCTCTCACTGAGCAATATACTCTAGAAGCCTGAAGTTTCACACCAATTCTGCATGTTATTTTAGAAGAATCCAGACAGTCTTGAACACGGGGCCAGTTTGTACTTGCTATTTGTTTCCTATAGTATTGGTGAGGAAAATGCTTGCCCTCAGCAACTCAGTATCATCACCATCTGCTCATACCAGGGTCACATCACGTGGCTTCTACATATATGCATGTGGTTGATTTTCTTAAAGGTAATCAAACATATGATGAATTATAAAGGAGTTTTTTAAAAAAAAACTACAAGAAACAAGTAAGATGAAAAGCCACTTTTCTATTATAATTCAAACAGCCTATGTCAAAGTCAGCACTAAAGAAGTGTCATCATAGTGTATACAATAATTCAAGACTAAGATATTGAACACTTAATATATCTTTTAGATATATTCAGACATAGAAAAAAATGTACCAAGTCAATTCATCCTATCAGTTTATATTTTTATAATAAAAGTAGATCTATAAATCTTATAGACTTTATAATGGATTTCTCAAAATGTACCCCAGTAAGAGATGCTGAAGCACCATCTTAACTATTAGTTATTTCAGCAAGGAGGTGGGCTAACAAGAAAAGAATCCGATTACTGATAAGTGAAATTACCTTCTGTCCTATGGAGTGCAGATGGAGCACAGGTTCACTGTAAATAGACATGGGCACTTTGTATTTGTTTCCCTGGCCAAACATGCCTCCCAGAACCAGCTGGGCCACTTACCAGGCTCTGCGCAGTGCTCAGCTCAGTCATCATTGTGACAATTGTGGAACCAGCATGGCCGGCCCTTCCTCACCTCTCCACTTAGCCAAATACTCATCGGCTGAGAGGGGAGGCTCCCAATCCCGCCTCTGCACTGCACAAATGTGAAGTACCCATATCTATTTGTGAGCAAGGAGTATTGCCAGACAGTAGACAAGCCGGAAATCTGTTCTTGATTTTTTTTAAGGTACAGTGCAGAGTAATGTTACCTCTGCTCAAGCCCAAGGTATCTGGTTTTGGGTTCTTAACTGCATCCTCTTTATGGATAACTCAAGATTTGGTCTTCTCATGTACACTGTACAAGCTGACACTGTGTATTATATAACCTTGAAAACTTACAATTTCTCTCTCTCTTTCACACACACACACACACACACACACACACACACCTCTTGACAAAGATTTAGAGCTGCAGTTAACAGTTAACACTGTTAAAACAATTTAAAAGGTGTGCACACAAACCTAGCACTTTATTTTATTTTTAATTCACTTTATATACCACCCCATTAGTGCAATCACTACAGAGTGGAGTTTCCACAGATTAAAAGTTATAATCCTCCACAATAACAAAAAATACATTCAAAAACAATAGGATAATGCAATAGACAATAATCATCACCTAAAAATAAACAACCCTATAAAAATGTAAATTTTTAAAAAAGCTTTTATTGACAGCATCCCAGAGATTCAGTTATTAAAGACAGCTTTAAATTATTCCATCTTTACCATATTTTTAAATGTAAGGAGAGAAGGAGCATGGTATGTCTCTGTTGGCATTCTGTTCCAGAGACTAAGAGACACAATCAAAAAGGCACAATCCCTTGTATTTGTCTTTTGGCCTCCCTTGATGTGGTTGTTTTTAACAACATGGATTGAGAGGAGTGAGTGGAATGAATAGCTGATTTCTGGGAGAGACATTCTGAGAAGTATCAATGTTCTAAACCATTAAGAACTTTATAGGTCATTATCATCACTTTGAACTGGTCATGGAAACTAACAGGGAACCAATGAAGGCACACCGAGACTGGGGGTATATTATTAAATTTATTTCATAACCCTGGTAATCAGTCTGGCTGTATTTTGGACTTGCTGAAGTTTCTGCACTGTTTTCAAGGGCAATTGTACATAGAGATCATTAGAGTATCTGGTTTTTGAGACTACCAATGTGTGAATCACTGTTCCATATTAAAAGGTCCTGAGTTCACCCCTGGCATCTCCTGATAGAGCTGGGGGTGAGAGTGGGGAATCAGGTCTGAAACCATGGACAGCCTATTGTTGGACACACTAAATAATCCTGACCAATGGTTTGCTTGATTTAGTTCAAAAAGGCAGCTTCTTAAATTACAAAGAGAAAGAGATTTTTAGACCTGCAATTGATGAAATCAATTAAACAGAAGGCAGTGCTAAAAAATCTTGTCCAGCAATAGGAACTCCAAAACGTGTGGACAGTTAATATGGAAAATGCTATATGCTTCTTGTCGCTGATGTTAAAATTTCCCTCTCACAGCAAGAGGCTATTGGGTCTTAAATTATTACTCATGGCTTTCTTTTACACTGTTGTTTCATTCTTTGTCACCTTGATGTTTTGGGAGCTCTACAAAACGTACAGACCTTTTCACTCAGTATTCTAGCCTGGATATTTACTGTGGGGCAAGATGAGAAGAAGCCCTCAGACTTCCCTCCTTCCCTCTCTCCTGCCCCATCCTTAGGTGATTTTCCTCTCTGTGTCAAGAAGATCATTTGCTCAAATAAACTGCTTAGAAGACTTGTTCACTTCTACTCCTTAACTTTTGCAAATATGAGGGGAAAAAGGCCGAGAAAAAGCAGGCCACCACAACCAGATTATGACAGGCAGAAAACATGAAGTGCTGTCAATCCATCCAGATGCTTCTCAGGCATTTTTTTTCAGGACACAGATTCAACCAGCAGAATAGAAGCACTACTTTTAAGAATATTGCTTGACGTGTGAGATTTCCACTTTGGAAATAACATTTCCATTCTGAAAATAAAACCTAAACAGGGGCTATTTACAAAATGACAAAGCCTCCCATCAATCACGTGGTGAGTATGCACATATGTGAAGGGGGTGGGGTGGAGAGAGATTTCCATGCATCTTACCTTCTATAAAACAAAATATCGTTCAAGCCTCCTCGACAGCATTAGGAAGAATGGGAAGTATTTTTATTAGCATTTTATTGAGAAACTTTGTATGAGACCGACTCCATTATTCTATGATTGAGCGTGCAAGGGGAGAGAGCTACTCCACAATTTGCTCTCTCCCCTTTTCTGTTTATGGGACCAGAAGGAACAGGTGTTATCTAACTATGCTACTTACACTATGTTAAATGCTGAGTAATACAAGCCACTTCATTCTGTGAATATATTCAACATATTTCTATAGCAAGTCTCTTTTTTGTGTCTGTTAAATAGTTATCGTACAAATGTAGTTCTGAGGCAAACAAAGCAAGCCTTTAAAGAGGAAATTAAAATGTAAAGCCTACAGTAAGGTGAAGACAATTTTTCCGTGCAACTCAGCACCACCTTCAAAGGATCCATAATTCAGCACTGCTTTCATCAAGGTTACAGAGCGATAGCTTACAAAATGTGTCATGTCCAAATGCGCATGAACACAAATACATACACACTCCAATCCTACAGCAAGACAGGAGCTCAGGAGAAGACTAAAATTAAACTCTTTTCATTAGTAAATAAGCTTCATTCATACAACAACTTCTAGCACAGCTTTGGCACCAGAATCTAGAGAGCTTCTAAAAGGTAGTTCTTGCAGACTAAAGTTTCAGCTACGCAGTACATAAGAACATAAGAAGAGCCCTGCTGGATCAGGCCAAAGGCCCGTCTAGTCCAGTTTCCTATGGACTGGATTGTGCAAACTTACTAAACTGTTCTGAAAGAATCTTCAATTGCACAATACATATGTAATGCACCATTTATTTCCTATGGATTGGATCGTGCACACTTACTAAACTGTTCTGAAAGGATCTTCAGTTGCACAATACATATGTAATGCACCATTTAGTTTACTTCCAAGACAGGGGGATTCTGGAGATAATGTTCTAGGATAGAGGCTTTTAGACTTCCTGTTCTTGAGAAAACATGTCTATGGTACTGAAGTCCATTCAGGCATGTTAAGCAATGAAGGAAGAGTGGGGATGAATGAGCAGACTGCACGAGCAGACTGCACAGTAGTTTTGTCCTCCATAAGATGGAGGCCAGACTGTTGTAGTGTGGATTGTGTAGGTCTTACCATTTGTAGAGCAACCTCCTTACTGCAAACCATCACATTCCAAGCAACAGAGGATAGCAGGGGCTGCTTCCACCTCCCTATCTCACTCCATGGCTCTACACAGGACAGGGGATTTTTAGAGTTCATCCTCAGTTCATGTGGAGTATTAACCTCAACTTTAACCTGTAGAAACTGTCATTTGTGCAAACATATACAGTGGTGCCCGCTTGAAGATTACCCCGATACTTAACGATGAGGTTTTTGCAATCGCTACTGCGATTGCAAAACAACGTTTCAATGGGGAAAATCCACTTCACGATGATTGGTTCCCTGCTTTGGGAACCAATTTTTCGCTTCCCGACAATCAAAAACAGCTGATCGTCGGGTTTCCAAAATGGCCACCTGCTGTTTTCCGGACCTATTTCGAGAAGACAGAGATTGAAAATGGCTTCCCCTATGGAGGATCTTCGCTGGGCGATGAGGTATTTTGCCCATTGGAATGCACTGAACCGGTTTTCAGTGCATTTCAATGGGTTTTTTCTTTCGCTTGACGACGATATCACTTAACAGCAATATTAACCGAACGGATTAACGTTGTCAAGCGGGGCACTACTGTACCAGACTAAAGTTCACCAGTACAACTTATTCCAAATACCAGCAAAAGCAGGCAAACTGTGTTTATGGAAACATGTCCCACCAAACTGCCCTTTTCTTCAACAAAGTCCTGTTAAGTTTCTAAAAAGCATAGCTGAAAACCACTATGTGATGAACAGAAAAAAATAAAGCAGAATCTAGCCAAGACAGAACACTGTAGGAAATGCTTTGGAGAGGGAGCGAAGATTGGCAGATCTTAGAGGAGAAAGGGGGAGTGGGAATGGCTTTAGGATTTCTAATTCCTACAAGATCCCAGGTCCAATCAAGGCCAGAGAAAATTCTCTATATTAATAGGGTTAGCTTTCAGCTCATCAAATAAAGGAAATTTAAGTTCATTCATCTGACAATGATATTTCATTGGCTCAACCACAAACCCATTAGCGGACCGTTGGGAAGACTAAGGTGGTGTGGGGGTGTGAGAAATCCTTATAATTCTTTATCTTAGCTCCTACTAACCTTCCAATTTCTGGTTTTCCTTTTCCATTCGAAGCAGCAGTATCTGTTGGTGAATGGCTTTTCTCCATAGACTCTGTAGCTCTTCAGAATTCTTTTTCTCTCCAGCCTTATCTTGACTATCATCATTTTGCAATATGGAAACAAGGGGGTCTTCATCAAAATGTGGTGCATGAGGAGACAATGGTAACAATTCATTTCCATCACCCCCATCTGCAAAGAACTGTATGTTAGCCACGGATTAAATAAACTTCAACTGATGCATCTATCACATTGGCAAAAATGTACATCAAGAATTGTTCTGGGATAGGGATACCTCATCTGAGCCACAGTGGTAAAAATGTGAATAAACTCACATCATTGTTAGGGTTTTATGAGAAAAACAAAATCAAAGTAACTTCACATGCACCTCTCCAGCTATAGCTACCTTTGGCCCATTCACCTCTCCCCAGGCTGGTAAAGTGTAGTTTGTAAGCTCCTCAGTACAGAGACCACGGCTGTTGTATGGTTGATTTTTTGCTTATGTTATATCAGTTTCATGCACATTGTAACAAGTAACAAAGTCAAATAAAATTCAATTGTTCAGTAAAGTATACAGTTCCTCTTTGAATCTCTCAGCTGCTGCCATGAAGTGTCCAGTATGATACCAAAGTCAAGACCAGACTGGGATGGGACAAATTTAAGTTCAGCCATCTGACAATGATACATCATTGGTTGTTGTGGGTTTTTCGGGCTCTTTGGCCGTGTTCTGAAGGTTGTTCTTCCTAACGTCTCTGTGGTCGGCATCTTCAGAGGACAGCACTCTGTGCTCTGGAGCTTCTCTACCACAAACCCATTAGATGGGTATCATCCATTTTGCCTCAAACTTGTATGACAGTACACTAGCCAACTTTGTAACTGGCTGGAAGTATTTTCTGGCATGGTTTATCTGTAGCAGGAGAGATGTCCCTCTCAATCAGAATATATTATTTCTGTGCACTCTGATAAACACACTGCATACTACCAGTGCATGTTATGGGCACTTATTATGTTAACATAACACTATGCAGCTCTGCCATCTGCTGGCAAATGTCCTGTAAACATCCTTGGTCTTTTGGAAAGATCAAAGGTCAAAACAACACAGTGGAGTAGTATGGAGAAAGTTGTGGGCAGACACAGGTATTTATTTATACCTCTCAAGTAATACTCAACCAAAAGTCATTCAGTGGAGCTGACAAGCACAACGCATAACTATTCACATGTAGCTAATCTATGGGACTCATGCCTGCAAGAACTGGTGATGGCTACTAGCTTAGAAAACTAGTCACCCAGAGAGGTCTGCATGAAACTAATATGCACAAGAATATATTGTTAAAACAGTAAAATTAGCTACATAGAGGGCTTGTAACAATGACTTTTTATGGCATTTCCTACTCCTATTCACAGGCCAGTTGGGTTCTAATGGCCTCTGTGGAGGGAGGAGGGGCGCCATGCACAGCTTAGTGAAATAGCAGCTGGTGGGGAAAGTGACAACTTTCCAATTTTCCAACTATGCACCAAGCCAGCCATACCAAGTACTGCAGCTCAGATATACACTTTGTAGCAAATGTCCGCATCTTTAAAAACAGAGCTGCAACTGCTGCTCTTAGACAGGGAAGTAAGATTAGAATCCTTAAACCGTCCTCTCCAAAGGCACACAAACCTTGAAGTTGCATTGCTGAGGGGGATTTCTTCATGGGCGATGCAACCCTGAGGAAGATCTTCTGCCGCCAGGAGATTCGGCGAGGAGTAAGAGTGATTCCGCCACCATTTAAGGACTCGTTGCTGCAGACAGAGGAGGTCCTTTTTCTTCTTTCCCCATTGCTGTCAGAAAAAGAGAAAAAGAAAACTTGTCACTATGAATTGATAAAACTAATACTGATAAAAGCCTAGGAATGACTCGTGCAGAACCAGCACAACAGTCTTAAAAGAAAACACTGGGCATCATCCTACCAACGTAATCATCATAGGCAGGGGCTGTCCTTTTTCCCCGCTGTGTCATTTTGGCCCATGGGTTCCCCAAACTTCAACACCTGGTTTACTGTCTTCTTCCCTCCACCTTCCCAACAACACTTACAAGACTAACGTTCACACAGAAGGCTTTTTTCATAAGGTAAATCAAAGCTCCATATTACCATTCTCTAAAAACTAAAAATTTATCCTGGCAGCAAACAATGTTTAAAATCGAGAGTCCATAGTAACTAGAAGGGGGCACTATTGAGCAGTAGTATCTTCTTTATCCAAGCCAGGGCTCACTATTCCAAGCCACTCCTGTATGTTTTGTTGGATCATGGCACTATTTTAGCCCAGCTTCCAGTTACTTGAAGATTCATAATGGCTTTTGACCTTTTGGATAAATGAAGCTATACTGTACTTGCCAGGCACTCTGGATGAGGCTCAAACTAAATATGTTTCTTCCCCTCTCCCAAAGGCACTGGCATTCCAGGAGGCACCAGCATGCAGGCAAAACAAATCAAATACCAAACTCCACTTCTTCTGCAGGATAAGAGTTTGTTCCCCTTGCAGATGAATTATTAATTGTTTTGTTTCCAACATATTAGCAAGTAGCAAGTAGAAGTTAAATACAATGTTGGGAAGTAATGAAGGCTGGGGAGTAGCTGGCAGGAGAAAACACCCTTTTTTTAAAAAAAAAAATTTCTTAAAAAAAAGAAAAGAAATATTGCCACATTCCAGGGAGAAGGGAAATGGTAATGGTGCTGCTCTGTTACACACTCATTGATTCTCAGATAGTTATGTAGACTTCTCAGTGATCCACAGGTAAATCCTGACCTACATTCTACCCCTTTTGATTTGTCAGTTATCAAGTCAACCAATTCATCTCTGCTATTGTGTGGCAACATCAAAATAAAAGTAAGCATTCTTCAACTCAGAAGCTTCAAACATCCTAAGAAACATCAATAGCCTGAGACAAATAGGCAGTGACGTCAGCCATGATGATGACTCCTGGCTATTAGCCAATTAGCCTCATGGACAGATCTTCCTTGTGCCCTGCCAATACTCAAGTTCCTTCTGGCTTCAGAGTCAACAGGGCATGTGGTTATCGAATTAATCGACTCACTCTGGGTTTTTTGACATATTTATTTTACCTTATAATATTTACTTAAGATGTCACCCATCTTAAGGCTTTTTAAAGTGTGCTACTAATAGGGAGGTGGTGGCACCGTGGGCTAAACCGCAGAAGCCTGTGCTGCAGAGGCAGAGACCAGCAGTCGTAAGATCGAATCCACAAGACGGAGTGCGTGCCCGTCACTTGTCCCAGCTCCCACCAACCTAGCGGTTTGAAAGCATGCAAATGCAAGTAGATAAATAGGGACCACCTCAGTGGGAAGGTAACGGCGTTCCGTGTATAAGTCGCACTGGCCATGTGACCACGGAAGATTGTCTTCGGACAAAACACTGGCTCTATGGCTTTGAAACGGGGATGAGCACCGCCCCCTAGAGTCGAACACGACTGGACAAAAATTGTCAAGGGGAACCTTTACCTTTTACCTTACTAATAGTACATTTTAAATGGAAAATGAATCAGAAAAAAATCAATACAAGCAAACTAAATAGAAGATGACTGGTATTAATCAATTAAAAAAGGTGCATGATAGATATGTGGGTCTGATCTAGCTTTGATTGAAAAACAGCTGCTGTATGATCCTGATCAGGAAATAAGGGTTAAATGCTTAGCTTTGGAATGGCCTCTTTGACCAATATTAGGACAGCAAGCATAATGTTCCTACAATACGCTGTTTTGCTATACACACAGTTTTGTTTCTACATAACACCCATGGGCCAAAGGACAATCCCAGTTCACAGCCGTGCCCATATCCACGTCACAGCCCCACAGATAGCAAGAGTACCAAGAACCAAAGGGAGGGGGGAAAGAGACTATACGTCTGGAAGTTCTGACACGGACACAAGTGCCAGCAGAACAGCTATTGTGAAATACAGTTATAAATGAGAATCCTTATTAATGCAGAAGGACTCTTTGCTCACATATACATTTTTCTATTGGAGCCTATGCTTATAGGGTAGAGCTGTCATCTATTCCTACCAAATTTTTATTTTTATTTTGACTGTATAAAAAACAAGTTCTGGCAGATGAGTAACATCGTATTCAAAACAGCCAATACAATGGACAGCTCAAAGATTTCACAAAATTTTGCTCTTGATCAGATCTGTTCTAAACGTCACTAGGCTTCACCCATATAATACCCAATTCCATCCTGGCTTTGTCCCTAGTCCTTTGAAACTGCCCCTATCAGCCCAAACATGATACCCTTGCTCACCACATCTTCTTCATGAGTCCTTGCCCCAAGAACTGGACTTTTTGTATCAATAAATTAAAGTCAGTTTGGAGCAATCCAATATTTTCTGCTAGCAATAAAAACAAAACAAAAAAAAGAGTGTTCCACATTTCTATTATAAGCCACTACCTCCTTTCCAAAGAATCAGTGAACATGAACAGAATGATTCACTATGCAATATTAACAGGAATCATCATATTCATCTTCATACAAATTAATTAATGGTGCTCAAAATCTTATTATTTAACTCAGAAACCACAACATAACTACATAAAATGACATTAGAATTTTGCCCATTAATTCACTGTACAGTGGTGCCCCGCATGACGACAATAATCCATTCCGTTAAAATCGCTGTACAGCAAAATCGTCATCATGCAAAAAAAGCACAACCATTTGAATGCACTGAAAACCAGTTAATGCGTTCCAATGGGGGAAATACCTGATCATTCTGCGAAGATCCTCCACAGGGCGGCCATTTTGTGATCGCTGTCTTGTGAAAATCGGTCCGGAAAACAGCGGGGAGCCATCTTGTGAACTGCCGATCAGCTGTTTTAAATCGTCGACTTGCAAATAATCGGTTCGCAAAGCACGGACCTAATCATCATTAAACGAAAATCCCCCATAGGAAACATCGTTTTGCGATCGCTATAGCGATCACAAAAAGTCATCATCAAGCGATTTCATCGTCATGCGGGATAAGCGTCTAGCGGGGCACCACTGTATCTTAATATGAATTACAGGAAACCAATGTATAGACAAATAAATAAACTAGGGTGTAGTGCAGGGGCTCTCCAGAGTGGCCTCTGACTAGATGGGCTGTATATAAATCAAATAACTACCTAACTAAATAATCAAGTGAACAATCTACTAAATAAACTCAAAAAGAAAAGTACAAAGAAAGAAACAACAACTTGTAAAAAGTGTACATTGGGAGAATTACATATAGGCATGAACCATAGAACTAAATGCAAAACTTTAGACTCGTTGTCAACATGTATTCCATTAATACAGCAAAGTTATTCAGGGGGCATTTTGTTCAATTATTTGGCAACTTAATATTTTACTTGCAAAATGTGGGATACAGCTACCCCTCCCCCTCAAATAATGCATCTTCTAGGCAACCTTCATATAAATACTTCATCAAAACAGATCTCCATTTTCTTTTGTTTGTACAAAATTAGTCCTACCTAAATGTTATTAAACTGCAAACAAGCAGGCTTATACAGTACACAATTTGCAACTTCTATTTAAACGATCAATCAACAAATCAAAAACAAAGTATCTGAAACTCCAGGGCTACAGTTTCAAATACATCGAGTTCTATGCTTCATTCACACGAAGAACATTTTTCAAAAAGAAGCAGAACACTTACCTCCTTTGAAAAACCTATAGACACACATTCCACCACTTGAGAATCCTCAATATATGAAATACTTCTTGAAACAACCAACTATACCACCATTAAAGTTAAAATTATTTTGGAGCATAATGTAGGGTGACCCATCTCCACAGAGGCATAGAACAAAATCTAGACTCTGAAGCCATTTCCGTCAATTTCAGCAACCATAAGCGGAACCACAATCGAGCTATACTAGAGAAGTTCCCTTTAAAAAGCTGTCAAAAGCGAAACTAAAATCAGTGAAAGCTATGAAAACTACCTTCCCCAGGCCCAGTATGTGGTAGAAAGCAAATAAAGATAGCTGAGTAACCATCTCTAAAACTGTTCTACAATTAATTAAAACCCAAATGTCTGCTAATAAGAGTAATTTTCCTAGGACAAATCAATCACAACCCATTTATCCTAAAAGGATTACTGGCAGCAGAACCACTACTGACATTTGCTTACATATAGTAAATTGCTGTGTTTCTGTCCAACACACACCAGTTACACCATAATCTTTTTTTTTTGGGGGGGGGGGAAGTGTAGTAATTCAGATCCTAAAATTGAACTTAGCTACAATACTGCAGATTGCTCATGTGAATTGATTATGAAAAATTAACATTCATTTTAAAAGGCACTTGACAGACTTAACTTTAGTATTACCCTTCCAACATTTCACCATATTTTCTTATTTGAAATTAAGCTCCACACAGGTCATCATATCAGAAATATAGTGAAAAACCTTGAAAGTCTTCTGTTTTACCTTTAAGCAGCTGATATATTGTGCACCAGCCAAGAATAATCACCAAAATACTTGACTTACCTCTGATGCCACCATGAGCTTCTCACTTCCGCCAGTTACCTGATATTGCTTAACTATTTCTCTACATTTGCAAAGCCTCAAGGGGGTAACAGGATGTTTTAGAAGGATCTGGTACAAAAATTACATTGTAATTACAGAACCTTTTTTCTTGTCCCTTCCTTGTTTTTCATTGACTTAGCAGTCAGCTTCTCCAAATATTAAACAGGGTTTTTCCTAAGAGGTAAGTCCCCTTTCACCACAAATGAAACACTAGCTCTTTGTTGCATCCATAAAAGATTATTATTCCAAAAAAAATTCTCCC